AATGTTTATGATATTATTTAAGAATGAAAGAAAGAGAGATGGGGTCAGTTAGTGGCATGGAGGTTAAGGCGATTGGATCCCACATGGCCAACTGTGTGGTTTGAGTCTCAGACCCAGCAGCTTGAAAAACACACTAGCTGTGTGTGTATGTGTGCCCCAAATCCCAAGAGGAGAAGGGAGGAGAAGGGATTGCAGCATGGCCTTGGGGGGTAGGGACTTCATTACCCTCCCTCCCCATTTCTCTCCAGTAAGCATGTGTACCCTATAACAAATAGGAAAGGAAGGAAGGAAGGAAGGCAGGAAGGAAGGGAGGGAGGGAGGCTCAGGAAGGCAAGAGATTACATAAAGCATGGAATCGAGATGAATTAGGGCCATCTGTCCCTTATTCTAGTACTCTTTCCTCTTAACCTGCCACTGGGATAGTTAGTTACATGCTGAACTCCACCCAGGGGGAATAGGAAAGGACATGACATATTGCACTCCTACTGTGTGCCAAACTTGGTTCTAGGCTCTTACTAGATGTTGCTTTCCTACTCTTTCCAGCAACCTTATGAAGTAGAATTATTGCACCCATTTTCAGATGAGGAGACTCTCGAAGGTGACAGGGAGTTTTCCTCTCTTGCACAAATCCACATAGAGCAGCTTTCCATTCAGTGGAGCACTGGTGGAGTACCTGCTACCAGATGCCACACAATCCTCTTGTGGTCCTCCCAAACTTAGGCAGACAGAATCAATATTTTCCAGATCAGAAAACCAATCTCATGCCCATTCAGCAACTAGTGCAAGGCCACCCAGTTGGTAAGAGATGGCTCAAAGCCAACAGTATGGCCCTTGGCTTATCTTTAGGACAATGATAGAGGACCAAGGAGGGTGGCTTTCAGAATTCAGAAAGCCTCATTTTACAGTCAGATATGGGAAAGAATGGGGCTAATGCCAATACAAAACAAGTAACTCAATAGAAGCACCCAGAAATACAATAGATTGGGAGAGAGGAGTTTCTTTCAGGTGGTCTGCAAAACTGGGTTAACTTTACAGAGGGATGGACACGTGTAATTCTATGGGAAAAGTCATTTAAAAGCAGAGCATAATATCCATTTGGACTCATAATGAAGTCGTTATCAGTAGAGTTTTAGCACTTAAATTGATGCATAATTTGATTAGGATTCTCCTGGCCCCAAGATGTAGGGGGAAATCAGGGCCATCCTCAAGATATATGATCAGCACAGTCTCATGGGCGGGATTTTTTTTTTTTTTTGAGAGGTTTTTGCTAAAGGGTGCGTGTGCTTGCCAGAGAGACAGAGAAAGTGGGAATTCATGCCCCAAGGAGGATGGCCATGCCACAATCTCTTTCTCCATTCTCCTCTTGGGATTTTTGGACATGAGTGCCCAGAGTGAGTTTCAAGCTTCTGGGTCTGGGACTTGAACCTCAATCAGCCCTGTGGGAGTCCAACACTTTAACCACTATGCCACCTGCTGGTCCCTGGGCTAGAATTTTTAAGTCATAAAAGATGTCCAGGCCTTTTAACTTATAATCCAGCTTCTGGGAATTTATTATTAGGAAAATGTTCAAAACAGTGAAACCTTTCCATATTTATTTATTATGACTGATTAAAAAAAATTTTCAACAGAAAGAAAATGGGTAATGACAATGTATCCCCTTGAGGGACTCTTATATGGTCATCCAAATTATAGTTATAAAAATGAGAAGGATGTGAAAGGGTATTGAAATGACCCTAATAATAATACTAAGTGGTAGAAAAACCCCAGAACTGAAACTGTAAAGAGGGGTGTGGGCATGGCAGAGCTAGAAAGGAGAGGAAAGGAACACAGCATGCTTTGTGGGAGGCTGTGGGACTGGGGTGGAATGTTTCTTCACTTTTATTTGCTTTGATTTTAATATTGGTTGCACAATGAACACAATGGAGGAAGGGGAAGCTGAGTGTCAGCTGTCACCGTATTGACAAGAACAGGGAAGGAGGGGCCGGGGGAGCTGAGGAGAGAGAGGGAGGGAAGGACACTTCTGGGTCTTGCCTCTGGGCAATGGGGCCTTAAATCAGTCCTGGGGTTTCAGTCAAGGGGGTGGTGCTATGTCTGTTCCTCACTCACATGCCCAGTTCCAACACCAGAACTCATGGTGAAGTCCAGGGGCACTGAGAGGGGAGATGAACAGGACAGGGGCTTGCTGTTCTCCAATGGCCCTGTCTCAACACCTGTCACCCAATCTGGGTCAAATACTGGATGGACATGCCAGCTCTAGAATCCAAGCCTGATCTTTTATAATTGATGTCTTCAGCAGACAATCCGTGTGGCTTCCTGACTATGACTGGGTCACGCATTCTCTCCCCTGTGGCCCCTCATTGTAGGAATCACTCTTTAATTAATGTCGCAGGGAAAGCACTGATGTGAACCACTGGGGCAGATTCAGGGGGCAGCTGTCAGTTATGTCACTTACACTCTCCTGGCCTTAGTGTCTTCATCTGTAAAATGGGGAACTGTCCAGTTCATCGAAGATTGCATAGACCTAACCTATTGGCAAACTCTGCAGAACCCTTTTGAAACTAGGGAGGCCCCAATTTGGATCATTTCACTAGAAGTCTCATTCCCAGAATGAAGGATATGATTCTTCAACTGTACTTTGGTCTGTCTATATCTTGGGAAACCATATTTTGATGAAGCCTTGCCATTTAAGGGGATGACAACAACTTAGAGGGAACCCAGGATATATGGAGGTTTAGAACTTAGTCATGAGAGATTAGGTAAAGGAACTATAGAACTATAGATTTTAAATCAGAAAACTTATTAGTAGCAAGGACATAACTGTCTCTGAAATTCAGGAGGGTCTCGAGGAAAGACATTTCCCTAGGTCTCTATTAAACCAAAGGACAGAATCAGTGGATAGACCCTACATGGTTGCAAATTTCAAATCTAAACAGAAGACAGAACCTCTCAACAGTCAGAACTACCTCTAGGTGGAGAGATTGGAGTAATCAGAGACTGGAGAACCTCTTGACCATAAGACCTTCTTGGATTAAAATGCTAGCTGGGGAAGAAGTTGAGGCAGGCCAGGCTCCATCCAGCCCTGTGAGCTTCTGAACCTAATCTGAAATGATTTACCTCCTCCAGCATGGCCTCCACAAATGCCGCGTGCTTCTCAAAGCATCTCTTTTGATTTCAGCAGCTGGTCTTCAAATGGCCCAGGGATCCCCATTACCAATTTCCCCCTTTCCAATGTGAAGATCTGGAAGAAAACTTATTCCATCTGAATGCTCCCATCATTTGAACAAGCTGTGTAGCAAGTGCCCTGTTTCTCTCTGCTTCAAGATTTGCAAGGCAGAATTCCCTCTGGGTCTCACCCAGCCCCACCTCCTACTCGGTCCTATTCTCACTGCTGGCTTCCACTTCCCTCATGTGCAGGGGAGAGCAGGAAAGCAAGCATTCCTAGACATACCTGCACCAGAGTTTATAGTGTCCTTGTCAGAGAAGTTCAGAGACTCCCAGGAGACACTAGGATACCATTGGGTTATTGGGAAACTCATGATGCATTTTTTCCCTGAAAACCGGAAAAGTACATCATGGCTTTCCCAACAACCTAATAGACTATAAAAAGTAAGATGCATGTCCCTCCTCTAGGCATTGTGAGGCTGCGGCTTATAGCCAAGAAAAGGACATCTGTCCAAGAAGAAGGAGTGGAGAGTCACTGGGACAGACTGTTTACTGAGGAGGGAAATGGAGGGTATAAATGTAGGGTTGGGGGGTTACAGAAAGGTTGCAGAAGGCAAGGGATCAATATGAAAGGACTCTTGTCACAGCACGTGTACCTGAGGGAATGGGACTCTGGACTCAGGAGGCTGTGAGATCTGCATTGTCTCCTTGACTCTGCAAGTTCGCTGCTGGGATGAAGTTCCTTTAGGCAGTTCCTTTGGGCAGCCTTTAGGGAAAGCCACAGGCTCTGGAGTTAGCACCCTGGGTTATGATTTACTTGCTGTGCTATCCTGGGTGATGTTAACAGCTCTAACTATGAAACGGGATAAGCTGAGGCTGTTCAGCTACTACAATAACTGCCTTACGCTGGGTAATTTATAAGCAAATGTGTTACACGGTTCTGGAGGCTGGAAAGCCAAGATGAAGGCAGCTGTTGATTCAGTGTCTGGTGAGGGCCTGTTCCTCATAGGTGGCGTGCTTCTCTGTCCTCGCATGGCAGAAGGAGCAAATGGATTCCTTGCAACTCTTAATAAGGCCACTAATGTCATTCAGGACTCTGCCCTCACCACTCATCTCCTAAAAGCCCCACCCCTGATACTATCATATGGTGACATCATTTCCACGCATGAATTTTGGGGGTACACATTTAGTCCATAGCAGGTACCTACCTCCTAAAGTCGAGAGGATAATACCACCCAGTATCTTAAGCTGACCTACATGAAACTGCTGATATTCAACCACTCTTCAACCTACAAAAATAGCAGTTTTTTATGGATTAACCTAATAAATAATGGCTAGATCAGTATAGCAGTTCACAAACTTGTCTGCACTTTAGAATTAAATTCCAGGGAGTCTCATCATATCCCACGTCAATTCAACCACAGTTTCTTCAAGTGGCCCCCCTGGCCAGGTGACTCTAACCTGTGGACAGTTGTGGAAACTGCTGGCTTAGCATGGGGCCTGGGATTTATTAAAGCACTCAATGTAGTCATTTCTGTTTTTCATTCATTTGTCGTTTACTGAGCACCTACTAGGCGCCGGTCCTGAATCATGTTTAGCTTGTCAGCCTCCTCAGTGACGGTAGTTTCTTCAAGTGGCCCCCCTGGCCAGGTGACTCTAACCTGTGGACAGTTGTGGAAACTGCTGGCTTAGCATGGGGCCTGGGATTTATTAAAGCACTCAATGTAGTCATTTCTGTTTTTCATTCATTTGTCGTTTACTGAGCACCTACTAGGCGCCGGTCCTGAATCATGTTTAGCTTGTCAGCCTCCTCAGTGACGGTTATTTCTCTCCTCCAGTGTCCAGGCCCCGGAGCTCCCCGGATGACCTGAAGGCGCTGACTCTGAATGTAAATCGGCTGAATGAAAGTTTCCGGGACTTGCAGTTGCGACTGCTGCAGGCTCCACTGCAGGTGGACCTGACGGAGCAGGTGTGGAAGGTGCAGGACGCGCTGCAGAACCAGTCGGACTCGCTGCTTGCGTTGGCGGGCGCGGTGCAGCGTCTGGAGGGCGCGCTTTGGGGGCTGCACGCCCAAGCCACACAGACAGAGCAGGCGGTGGCCCTGCTGCGCGACCGCATGGGCCAGCAGAACGACGCGGCGCAGCTGGAGTTGTACCAGCTGCAGGTGGAGAGTAACCGCAGTCAGCTGCTGCTGCGGCGCCACGCGGGCCTGCTGGATGGGCTGGCACGCAGGGTGGGCATCCTGGGCGAGGAGCTGGCAGATGTGGGGGGTGCACTGCGTGGGCTCAACCACAGCCTGTCCTATGACGTGGCCCTCCACCACACGCGGCTGCAGGACCTGCAGGTGCTGGTGAGCAATGCCAGCGAGGACACGCGCCGCATGCGGCTGGTGCACATGAGCATGGAGCTGCAGCTGAAGCAGGAGCTGGCCGTGCTCAACACTGTCACCGAGGACCTGCGCCTCAAGGACTGGGAGCACTCCATCGCGCTAAGGAACATCTCCCTCGCGAAAGGTACCCACCTGGTCCACCCCAGCTCTCAGTGCCTTCCCTGAGAGCCTCTTATGTTCAGTGGAGGCTTGAACAGGTTGACAGTCTTCCCCTTTTTCAAGAGAAACCAGAAACATGGAATGTTCTGGAAATATTTACTCAATGCCAGAGGACATGTGTGCTTATGAGAGAGAGACAGGGAGAGGGAGAGGGAGAGAGTAAGTACCCCCTAGTGGGATGTGGTCACAGCATAATTCCTTCTCCCCCATTTCTCCATCCTATCAGGATGAGGGGCATGCAAACACATGCAATTTTGGTGTGTTTTTAAGGTTGCTAGGTTGGGATTCCAACCACAGTCAGCCTTGTGGGATCTGACTCCCTTAACCACCAGGCTGTGGAGCCAGCCCATACAGAAATATTTACTTGTTGAACTGTGTGGGCCTCTTGTGCTCCATAGACAGCCTGATTGCATCCCTTGTCCTGGGTGATGTGTCCAGTCCAATGGAACAGATCATGTCAGAAATAGCTGTACTCTAGCTATTCCTCCTACCACAATGCCCACCCCCTCCTCCTTCAAACCCCACTCATCTTTTATGATCCCACTCAACCCACTTTCTCCAAGAGCTCCCCTAATCTCTGCGGGTCTTCCTCACTGAGCTTCTACATTTATCAGAGTACAAAGTAGTAGTGACGGGCCTTCCCTTGTGCTGTACTTTCCAGTTACAGAGCACTTTCATGTACTTTTTTTGTTTGTTTTAAAGTGGGTGAGTTTGGGAGGAGAAGGAATTCAGAAGGA